CGGGTACGACCCAGAGAGGAAAGTCCCAATCAGACGCTTGTGCAGAGTCCTTGGTCTGGAAGAGTCACCACACTTGTGATTTTAACATCTGCTTTAAAATTCTGATTATCCCCAGAGCTGCTGCTGCTTCTCCTTTCTCCAAGTTTGAGGCTGTGAGGAGACCAGCCTGCAAACCTCCCCTTGTGCTCCTTCCTGGGGAGGGATGCAGCTAAAGCCCTCCTGAGCAAAGGGGTTGGAGGACGTGCCTGGACCCAAGTGGAGTGAGCAGAGAAAAGGTGTCTGCCTGGCCAGGGGAAGTTCAACAAGGAGCAGAGGTTTGCATGGCCTCCAGGAATGGTTCTGCAGCGATGGGAATGTAAATCCCACCCAGGACTCGGGTTCCTGTGAGCAGGAGTTAAGCCTCCCTCTTGGAAATACAACAGCTGGCAGGACATGTGCTCCTCAAGCCTGGATGAACCCTCAGCCCCCCAGCACTGCTACAGCCCAAGGCTGCCGGCTCCGAGCTCTGGTGTGGGGCACAGGGAGAGGGACAGACACGCCATGTTCACTCATCCACCACCTGCCACCTCTTGTTATAGGGAAGGATGGTGGAGAGCAGCTAGTGCTTCCTCTGGAAAAGTTCTCCAGGATCTCAACCACTCTCCTTTCCTCCACAAATCTGCTGCAGCTCGCCCCACACACACCCCACCAACATCTCCTCCAGCTCTCTGACCTACACCACAGATGGGACATGGTTCACAGCCAGCTTTTGCCTCTGAGTAAGAGCTGCTGGGCTGCAGTTCCCTCCATCACTCATTCTTCTGGGGCAGCAGAAAGGTCCCAGCAGGCACAGCACATCCTCTGTCATGTGAGGGTGGCGAGACAGTGTCCCAGGTTGGCCAGAGAAGCTGTGGCTGCTCCTCCCTGGAAGTGTTGAAGGCCAGGTTGGATGAGGCTTTGAGCAACCTGGTCTAGTGGAAGGGGTCCCTGCTGCTGGCAGGGGGGTTGGGACTGGGTGAGCTTTAAGGTCCCTTCCAACCCAAACCAGTCTGGGATTCGATGATTCCATGTCTCCCTCCAGCACTTTTGCAGAAACATCTAGGGACAGAGATGTACAGCTGGAGTCCCAACACCAGCTCTCTACAAGAGACCTACTCCCCTCTGGATCCACCACTCAGGCTGCTCTACCATGGCCAGGGTTTGAAGGCAGTTGCTCCTG